CTGCACATTTGTTCCTTGTTGGGGAGATCTACAAACAAGAATCTGATCTGGCAAGGCTTGCTTGGCTTCCAGGTTCACGTCTCAGTGGGTGGATTGATGTGGTTGACAACAACTAACATTATTTTCTTACTTGTCCTCATTGTCATGGAAAATTTTTCCTTGGAGGGAGGAGTTCTGAGCAATTTTGTGTCTCAAAATTCTGCACTTTTCTGCAGTTCACAGTAGGCAGAATTCTCTTTCAACTCATTGCTTTCCACTGGGTATAACTTTATCCAGTAAATCTCCTTTCAGATAGGATTTTATATTCTAAGTTTTCAGCTCATAGGTATTTCTTAGGCTTACAGTGGTGGTATAAGCTTGTCAAATCAGTTCAGATACTTCTGTTTTTACTTTGAAGTTTACTGGGTTTACTGTTTTCCCAGTGCATCAAACATATTTACCTCTCTTATAATTGTGTGGAAACAATAGTTCTTTTTAGGAACTGCACTTATATTTAATTCTGTAGATGTAATGAATTCCTAACTTTTGGAGAAAAAAATGTTTAAAATTAAATAAATTAGCTTCAAGGCATTTAAAAATAGAAATTTAGGATTTGTACCATATGTTTTATATATGCTTTTTTAAGGCTTCATTTAGGCACAGCATTTTGAAAAGTATGATCATCTCTTTATCTTGACGGCAGCCATCACCTAGAATATTATGTTGCATTGAGCAAAAATCTCAGGGTTACAAAAATAAAAAAATCCCTATTTTTTTGAAATGGCAGGAACCTGTCTTTCTTTTGAAAAATACTTTGATCACATCTGATGATCCAGGTAYCTCCAGTTGAGTTAATTGATCAGCAGTTACCTCAAAGCACCTGCTGTCAGGTTTAGTCTGTCACATTACTCATTCAGAAGTCTTGGGCGTGTAGCAGTAACCAAATAAAATAAACCCATACTGGCAGCATAATAGGCAGCTATTTTTAGCCTATATATCTACAGCTACACGAGGCTTTTACAAGTAAGAAAACATCTCCAAAAAGCATATTTTAACCAGTATTGTTATTCTGGTGATTACTTGTGGTGGTATAGTTATATAAGTGCTAATACAGCTATTGCCTGTCCGTATCTTTTGCAACATTTGTTTTATGTCAGTGAGTTTCCAACAAACAAAACAAGCAGAGAGCCCAGTTTTCAGGAAGTAATTGCAGTTCCCCTGGAAATACCTATCAATTGTTGCGTTCATCTACCAGACATAAATATGGACATTCAATATATTGCCTGGTAGTACAGGTTTAAAAGACAACATTTTTCTTTGGATTGATCACAGATACATGTACTTAAGTCAGTTGGTTTACATGTACTTGTCAATTATAGCAATCACACAATGGGTATATTTATCTACAAATTGAAGTTGTGCTCCTGTAAGTGAAGAACATTGGCTTTTTCTGCTTTACTAGCTTTATCTTTAATCACACTTACAAAGAGCCTTTAATGGCTTGTGAGATCCAATAATGGAGGTGGTAAGGTTAATGGGGCATCTTGTTACGCTGCACATTTTTGTTGCAAATAATTTTGTATATTAAATGCTTGAAATCTTTGCTATAAGAAGGTTAGACAAGAATTTGAGTACCTAAAGGAGAAGGGTCCAGCTAACAGCTGGTTGCAGAAATAAAGGTTAACAACAATGACAGCAGCTGCCTTTAGAGAATGACACAATTGTAAGATACAGCCAGTATCTGAAATCTAGCAGGGAATGGTTTTGTCTGACAAAGGCAAATCTGAGGGAGTTAAAATAAGAGTGTTTAAGACCTGCCCTTGTGATTATCCTACTCCAMCCTGTAAAAATAGGACATCTTCATCTCCATTCAGCATCTTTTATATATGTGCCCATACCCACTGTGCCCAATCTTTTGACCAGTTCTCTAGCCATGGAGGTGCTGAGCATCATCTCCACTTTCAGTGCAGAAATACAGCACAGAGATATTACTTTATACAGAGTAAGAACTGTGGCTGAGACCACCCCCTGTCAGTATCATTCCTGGGATAGGTTTTTGGCTATGTGGTCCATTTGGTAAAGGTGTAAGTTTATTTTCTCTCTCAAACAGTCCCCATCTTTCTGAATTTATGCTTCAGGAACTGCTTGTGAGCTTGGTTACCTCCTGTGCCCCTTACTGTATCCTCTGATAACCATCTCTGTCCCTCACAGGATATTTCTAGTGGTGGTGCAGCATGGAGAATTTCCTATGTCAGTGGCTGTTCTTTTAATACATCAAAGATGTATTGTAGTGCCCTACAAGGAGTCCTTAGCACATACAATACTCCACATTTTCTGTTCCAAGCAAATGCTGCCAGCTAAAGGGGTAGTTAGTTACCTCACTCTCCACACCCAGGCAAAGGCTGTGCTTCCCTCCCTGCCACCTGTGCTTTTCTGTTTATTGCAAGCACTTGATTTAAACCCCAGATTTGCTTACTCTGCCCTGTGATGCTGAGAGAATTGAACAAACTGTGCTGCTCGTAAAGCAACATGTACTGTGCCTTTGTGCAGTACTGATTGTCAATAAAGTGTAATTTAGCAAAAATAAAAATACTGATTGTCAATAAAGTGCAATTTAGCTAAAACAAAATGCACATTTCCGAGTAAAAGCTTCCATAGCAATAGAGGAAAACAGAAAATACTGATAATATTAAAACTGCAGATTTCATTATTTTTTTAACTATCCAAACTCTCATGTTCAAACTTTCAAACAGAATAGCAGTATGAGCACTAGGCATTTGTAAAGTTGTTAGCAGCTGAAAGCTGTGCTAAAGTTTATTAATTAGACATATTTCTGCTACTGTGCTTGTACCAAACATGGTTACCTACACACACCAAAATCTCTGCACTAAACCTGGTGTGAAGGGGTTGCCACAGAAAACCCTCATGTGTATAGTGAGTGTTTCTTTGCCCTGTGGGCAGAAATGTGTCATTTTCCAGCCAAATCATCCATTTCCAGGATGTAAGCAATTCCCTGGGATATGATGAAACTTATTTTAAAAAGTAAAGACAGAACTAAATGCAGCATGAAGTCACCTAGATCAAGACTGGAGGGAAAAATGGTGCAGGAAACATTCAGGGGGACAGAATAGACCTTTCAGGCCTGTTAAAGAAAGAAGTAAAATCTGAATAAAGTTTCCTATTTTTCGTTAGCATTCTGAATTTCCAGCAGCCTCCAGGATGTTTGATTTGTACTTTATCAATTGCCATATAAAGAGCTAAGGACATAACAGGAAGTTTGGGGTTTGATGGAACTCTAGAGTTAGCCCAGATCCACAAGTGTGCAATGTATATAGAGAGAAACTGTTCACACAGTCTTACTTAAAGCTGCTTAACAGCTTAAAATGATAAAAAGTCCTTAACACAATTTAAGAACTTAAACCACTTAAACTGTTTGAAGCAGCTTGTGAATTTGCAGTTTGGGGTGGGGGGTGTGCTGAGAGGCAGCCCTGTGGAGCTGCAGCCTGGGGACAGGGCTCCCACACCAGGAGCCCCAGAAAAGGGCACTTTTTGCAGCTAAACTTGGGAGGCCTGGGGGTGATGGGAGGGAGAAGAGGGAAGAGCTTCCTACGTAATTTTATGTGGTATTGTGTGTTTGGCCAGATTGTTCTGCTTTAAATAGTGTAGTAGGAATCTTACAGGCATGTGAGGTGTCAGCAGTGGCATCTCCCCAGGGAAACAGGGAAGAGGGTGGCAGAAAAATATTGTCTGTGACAAGTCTTCAGCTGTGGAAAACAGCTTTGGCTCATGGGCCAAGGGAAGGCTTCTCAGGAGCATTGTGAAGGAATCTGCACACGCTGCAAGCCAAAATTTTCACTTTTGTGGCTCCAGGAAATGCAGGTGTGGGGGAGGTGGTGAGAGGGGGCCTTTCAGATCTATTGATCAGGAATTTTTTGTTTCTAAAGGATTCTTTTGGGTAAAAGGGGCAGGGGCAAGGTAGGGAGAGTTGCTTTAGTTTAACTGATGTCAAGCAGCATTAGTTGGTCACACCAGAAGCATGCTGTTAACATGGGAAGTCCCATATTTATAAAACAGAAAAGAAGCCATTAATTATGTGATCCGGTTTGGTCCTGCTGCTGTGTGTGGTGATCGATGGTTGAGTGTTTGTATGCTCAGATGGAAAAATGGTAGCACTGCACAGAAGTGATGCTTAAGGGCAAAGGAAGAGGGCACAGGAATGGGAATGAGCATCTGAAAGGGGGAAACAGCCAGGATGCTGCTCCTGATGGCAGTGATGCCACCTTAAATGTTTTAAATCTTGGGCTGCTTTTCATTGATGCAGGCAGTGATTTACACCTTTTGGTGCAGAAAAGGCTGTAAAACAGGAGTGAATTACATTCTGTACAATTTGAAAATAAATTGTGCATTCACAGCCACTCAGGGTGAGGCCCATTTACACTTCCAGAGTGGTGTATGATGAGTAAATGAAAGTTAGGTCTCTGTGTGAATGAAAAATGCCTGTTTTACCAGAGGCTGTGAAAAGAGAGAGCAAGAGAGACTTAGTGGAAATTGGAAGCAAGATTTTATTTGTTTGTTTAAAACAGTCATATTGATTTGGAGTCAGATGGAGCATTGGTTTAACTGCAAACTAATTCCACTGAATTCTCCAAGGTATTTCTGGTGAAATTGATGAGGCTGGAAATTTATGTTTATAATCTGAGTTTTTCCTGTGTTCAGGTAAGTCTTTATCACATTTTATTCTTGTCCAATTTCGGTGGCTTATTTAACATGAATGTTATCTTGTAAAAAAAAAAAAATCTTCACTGGGGTGAAACAGAGCTTGTATGTAGTTAAAATTATATGATCTCAGTACATTTAAATAACTCCTTGGTTTTCTTTTATGATGAGGAATGAAATACGGAAATGTTACRTGGTSAGGGTMAGTGCTTTCTGACTAATGACAGACATAGAAACCATTTAATTAATGAAATCTTGCTAATGTACTACATTGTACTAATTTCTCAATATCGCTTGAATTTCAGAACATTTCAGGATCTGTCCAAACAAATGGATATATCTTATGGTACAGTCAGGGACTCAGCAGTGTATGAATACTTTAAAGCAAAAGGGACCAACCCCTTGGAGCAGGATAACACATTTGCTGAACTCTGGAGGACTATCAGTAAGAATAATGGGGCAGATAATTGTGTATCAAACCCTTCTGAAGGCATCAGGAAGGTAAGACTGGATCACAGGGGGTTTCGTTTAATTTTTGTATCAATGTTGTTTCTGTGAAGTCAATGTTAAGTCTCAGGAAAAATTACATAAGTTTAAAAACCCCCTAAATTCCTATCTAAAGTTCCTTTGAGTACCTCAGTGGCAGGTAAGAATCATATTTTGGTGTTATGGGTCTGAATGTAAGTACTTTAGCTCTGCCTAAATCTTCAGTATGTGTGTGAGTCATTCTTTGGATCTGGTCAGAAGGTTTCTCAGTTTCTTGGAGGCTTTGAGAATGCCTTTCTGAATGTAATTCTTTACATTATCCAGTACTGACTCTTGTCCTTTGCTCATTTGTTTTCTTTTTTCTGAATAAGAATCAAGGGATTCACAGAATGTATACTCATTTCTCTTAAAACAGAAATATAATGAAAGATTTTTCTTTGTTTACTCCAGATTTTAAATAATGCATTCACATGACACTGTTTTACCAAAATTTTATTCCTCTCAGATAARATGGCAYMTYTTTTTTGTGGATCAGAGWATTGATGYRGGATTCAAGGAYTGGTGTGTRACAGTTTAGGATGTTGYATCTTTGTTCTGAGCTCTGTGATAACGAGTTTTGGCCATTAGCAATGCCTACACTCTGTCATAGGTGTCTCTTCCCTCAGCTCCCCATCTTGAATCTCAGCAAAAGCAGACAGACCTTACATCAAACACATGTCCAGGAGTGCATTACAGCAGAAGGGATGCAAACATGCTGAAAGCCTTGATGTGCTGCTTCTTTAGTGAAAAGTGTCCTCTTTATCTGTCAATTGATTTTTTTATAAAACAAGCTGACAGCTGTTATTAAGACAGTGAATGTTTGATCAGAGACACTCTTGTCAGTGAAACACTGATTTACTAGCTCTTTGTGATTTTGTATGTGGGAAATAAGAAAATGGTTTTGGCTTGCGTTTCTTTTTTTCTGCTTTGAATTTTTGAAAACTTTTCTGAACAGCCAGAAAGCAAGTAGTCAAAATCTACTGTTTTTTACAGTGCCATAAAGAGGGTGAACACAATAATACAAGTCATCCCATTTCAAAATTCAAATTCCTTTAGCAAAAGATTCCCAACTCTTTGCTTGACTTTTGGACAAAATCTTTATACAGACACTCTTGTGTCTTAGCATAGGAGTCAGAAGTGTGGGTTCACCCTGCCTTTTTTCTATCTCTCAGCTCTTTAGGGCTTTCCCTAAAGCCCTCTGCCCTCAGCTCCAAAATCCTACCTTCCTTGGGATGAGGTGGAGCTCTGGCAATAGCAAAGTCTGCAGTGGTTGATTATTTTTTTAATCTGCTCAACACTCTATGAAAATGAGGCCTGTGTTTTGAGATGTTTTGGTAGCATTTAGAGGAGACATGGAGACATTAACTACTTTTCTATAATAAAACAGTTTACCTTAGAGAAATATACAGTGTTTTCCTTTTCTTTATTTCTTTTATAACATTCTACTGGCAGTGGATGCTCTTTATCCATGAAATTGTAAATACTCTTATTTTGTAAGCCTAGTGCATGCTGCCATTTATGATAGCTACATTTGCTAAGCCAGAAATGTAACTGTAGATTGGCAGGCAGTTGAGAATACCAATTATATTGTCTGTATGGAGCTGGCAGCTCCATCCTATCTATGTGATAATAACTTTTCATACTAAGTTTGATTTCAGTGTTGTAGGGTGATTTTTATATAACTAGATCAGCTCATTCAAATAATGTCAACAGCAAATAAATTTTACTTCGGTCCCCAAAGATGACCAAGGCCACTATTTGATTAGACACCTACATAAATTGGGATTAATATTTAATAACATTGTCAACTAAACTATTGTGTTTATAGTTTAAGTGTCACTCTTGCTAGCTCATTGAGCTCTCTGAATAAACAGACAAGTTTTCCATGTCAAGTACTACAGCAAGAAATTCTTGGACTTATTCTAAAGGAGAATTGATGTCAGCCAAGGAAATGAGAGTTTCTTTCCATAAACACATACTCCTGCATGAAAGAGATGTAAATGTGCCTTACAAATGGGTTTCGTAGGAAATGGGAACTCTAAATCTCTCTAGCATAAAAAGATCCATAAAACATTTTTCTGAATGAGGACTTGCCTGACACAATGCAAGAAAAAAAAAAGAAAAAAATCACTACTATTCTTTCTTCCCTCCTTCTCCTTTCTGTTTTCTTCAGGCAGTATCACAGTTCAACTGCAGTTACAAACAAAGCAGTGCCACTTCAGTGCAAAACAGGGAGTGCTGGTTATTTATGCCAGACAGCTATTTCAGGTGTTTTTCCCTATTCCATTTATCTTTCTCCATTTCGTGGAGATTTTCCTGCTCCCTTGGAGTGTCTGAAAAGGATGGCAGTGGAGCAAAGTCCTGTGAGCTTTCATGGCATTTGGTTGTCATGGCAGACGTCTCTCTTCAGACACTGCAGGGTCCCTGTAGCCGCAGTGACCATCTCCCAGCTGAGCAAGGCTCAGCTTTTGCAGCACTGGGAGAGCCATGGAAAGTGCAGGAATGCATTTCAGTATCACATAAGGGATGGGAGGACGATTGAGAGCCAAGGGTGGTGGTGGAGGAGGGGGGAACACTGCTTTTGCTGTATTCCCAAGGTAGTTGAAAGTGGCTATTTTCAACTGAAAAAGTTGGCCATTTTCAACTGAAGATGGAAAACCTCATCAGTGTCTCTACATAGCCCAGGAGTAGAAACCACACAAACCACCGTCTGTACAAAATGCTGTTTTGCCACTTGGAGCTGTCTGGGGCCATCACAGATGAGGATTGACTAACAGTGCCACAGGAAAGTTTTTTCCTGGGTCATCCTACAGCCAGGGTCTCAGTGAACTGTTTATATAATATCCAGTATTAATCAGTTATTCAAGGTAATTATTGATTATCCACATACATAATAAGCTGTGGTTTTTATTTTCAGTGGGAGCACCAATTTTTTGCTTTGAAAGAATGAAGTAATATGATCCCTATGTAACCCTGTATCTGCTATATATGCAGATAGGAGAATTAAACTCCAATTGCTGCATTTTATAATGCCCTGCTGTTGTTGAGATTGTTTGTTCCTCTGTCTAATCAATTTGGTGCCAAAACTTCTCAGAATCCTTTCTTTTCTTCCTGTGTCTCACTTTTGATCAAAAGCTATCAAAACCAAGTAGAGCACAAAATGAGAACACATCATTGATTTAGGCAATGGCACAGTAAGAATTTATTCCTTCTCTTTTTTGCTTCCTTAATGATCACTAAGCATTAAATCAGAGCGATCTTCTTGAGCAGTGTCACCTCTGTTCATTCTTACTTGGAGAGTAGAAGTAATTTAGAAGTTCATTTAATATGATTTTTTAAAAGCTTTTTTTCCCAATAATGCATTGTCCACAATGAATTTTATATTGTGAATTGTGGTTGCTCATCCACATGCTTTCATGGAGCTTCATAAATTTCACCATTTCTTGACCCATAAGCCTTTGAAGCAAAAGCAATGCCTCCTCTAACCGGAATCTGTAGCATCCTATAGTGGTTCCTTAATTATTTTAATGTTTGAAATATTTCAGCAGGATTCAATAGCATGTTTTTCTTTTTATTAGAACTGTGTTGCTTCTCTTAAAGCACCCTTTTATAGATAATAAATGCTACCCAAGCATGTTTTTGAGCTACTCCACTAATGCCAATATAAAGGTCACTTTTTGATATTTCTGTGGTAGCAGTCATATAATGGGATCAGCTGCAGTGACACTCTGTTCTGGCAGTAAATTAATGATGAATTTTGCATTTTTCTGGCACTTCTGTCTTTAGTATGATAACTTCTTCACGAGTTTCAGGTAAATCACAGATATATCAGTGATTAACCTGGAATCAGTCTTTTTTTCACATTATTGTTTCTTATCATGCTTTCTTTGAAGCAACATTGTTTAACCATCAGTAAGCCGGTCCCCCTTGAACAATATTTTCCATCCAATCTCCATCCATGCTGAAGAGTGATGCTTTCCTGGAGTATTATTTTCTGGAGTAATACTGCTTTGCTGCTTTTTACTGCTTTCCTGGAGTATTCTTGTCTAGGAAGCAATCTTCTTTGGCCTTTTCACTTTTTTTAGGATTGTGAAGCTTTGTTTGTTTTTTATTTAATATAAGTTTTGCCCAGAGGGTTCTTTTTTTCTTAAATCTGTTTTCTTAAATCTCTTAAACCACAGATAAATCTGGTGTCCTTGGTGCAAGCCATAGTAGTTGTTCTACCTGGGTGGAATGAATGAGTGCTGCTTTGGCTGACTTTCTGATAAACAGGTTTTTGAAAGTTTAATCAAGTGAGTTTTGTTTTGTTGTGCAGCATGCCTGTGTGCTGAGAGTCACAGTAAGGCCATAGCAAAACAGCAAAATATGAAGTACAATTAGAAGACAAAAGTATAAATTTGAGCTCATTGTTGTGTGTATTATTTCAGTCATTTTTTATTCAAACTGTCTCACCTGTTCTCAGCTGGTGTTTGCCACAGGCCCTTTTGCCAGTGTTCCTACCCTGACGGCCTGGAAGTTAAGGGGCAGGCAGATATGCACACATACAGTCTGCCATTAAAATAAAAAAGAAAGTTTAAACTCTGTTTAAAATTGGGGTTTATTTTCCATTGAAAATAAATGTCAATTTGATTTTATTTGGCTTTTACTGCCTGCCTAGTGAGCGTATATAAAAAGTCAGCATACTTCAAACACACATGTATGTGTGCACTTATGTGTCTTGTACATATGTTTTTCAAAGTTTGACAGCTTTTCCTTAAATTGAACAAATGATACTGCTTAGCTGTCACAACAGATACTAACGGGAAGTGAAGGATGCTGAATTTAGACAGCAACTAAACATTTTGTTGTAAGAAAACCTTCCACACAATGAACACACCAATAGTAGAAGGTCTCCACTCCTCAGATGAAAATTTCACAAGTGGAAGAAGTCTGGAAAGGAATATGTTTTCCCTTAGGAAGGAGGGATCTTTGGAGATTCTGGTTTTGGTAATCAGAGAGGGGATGCAGTCATGCACCCAGGATTTCTGGGGGTGGAGACAAACGCAAAACCAAGAGTTTAAAAGTCAGATTGCTGCTTATGCTAAAATGAGCAGGCTGTCAGAGAAATAATGCCCTGCAGTTGATGACATTGGATGGAATGATTTATGTCATTAAAAAAATGTAAAATAGGTATGAAGAGAGCTGGCTGACTTGGTTTATTGACCATTTACAGTTGCAGGATGTAATTTAGGATTGCAACACTACAAATGCAAGAGAAGTAGACCTTTACAAAAGATCTGCTGACCAGCATTGAAAGTCAGTGCACAAAGCTCTTCTATATAAAATAACATACAGAAAAATGCGGCTTGAAATGTAGAATCAATAATGTGTTCTTCTCTTCAGCTATAATGCATCTCTTTGCATTATAATGGAAGTTGAATATTTGAGGAACATTGTGTTCTTCAGTTATTACTAGGAGATTGATAAGGAATGTATTATATTGTCAGTGTTCTTTTCTAAATGATAAACTTGAAAAGATGATTTACTAACCAGTTCTGAAAGAACAAAAGATAGATACAGCTCTTTAAAAAAATGTAAGACACATTTTACTATGATTTAGGTCAAATCTTTCCTGGGTGTCTGATATCTGTATATCCATCAGGCAAGATTTTTGTTCTCTAATAGCATGGATTTTTAATATGTTCTGTGTACTGTAACAAGTGCTGCTGTCCCATGAGGACATATTTTTAATGCTGACAGTCTCCTGTCACAGGCAGCAGAATCCTATGTATTATTTACCATGGAACACAATGTGCCTGATGATGTGCAAAGCCAGGGCCTTTGGCAGTCCTTCCCTGCCTGAAACACTTGTGGGACTAGTGGCCATTGCCTCTGCTCCCTAAATAGGTTGGAGGTGTGAAATGGGAATCATTGAAACCCATCACAGGAAGAGCAAACTTCGTACACTGAACTGAAAGGAGGGAGGTGGCAAAGGGAGAAAGTGGGCATAAACTGACAATAGTGGCATGTCCTTAATAAGAACAATATTTTCCAAGGAGTCAGTATACAGGCTCATTTAAATCTTACCAAAGAGGAGGGATATAACATTTCTTCTCTGTTTTAACCCAGAAACAAATGAATTTGTGGATCTTTGTCTTGATGCAGATAAAAAGGAAGGGGGGGAAACAGGTGAATTGCAGCAAGGAGCTTACAGAAAATCCAGGCAACATAATTTTAATCTTTGTTTCCCCAAATTCTGTCTACTAGAAGATACCTCACCTATTTTATTTTAATTTACTGAATCTATATCCAGATACATTTCTTACATCTTGTGTTAAGTAAGGTGATTTACGTTCATTATGTATGCTGTGTGCAGGCATTGGTTTCAGTCCCAGTTAAGGCTGGTGTTTAATGATATCTGCATGAGTCTGTGTTGAAATATAAAAAATATTTACCCCAAAAGTGAGGTAATAGTGGATGTTTGTGAATCTTCTTACCTGTGAAGAAAAGAGGGAATTCTTCAAGCTCAGTGCATGCCTTTTGTTACAGGACTAACATAGCTCTCAGAAGGGCTGTATTTATTTGTAAGGGAAATTCATTTATTTACATGTTTATATGAGCAAAGCTGCAAAGTTACTATTTTGGTGACTGATGACTAGGAGACATCACTTAATACTGTGCCACTCTTGTTACATGAATGCATGGAACCAGTCACACTCCACGTCTCCTACAAAACAAGCATCAGATTTCTTCATTTAAAGCAATATCTTTCATTTATAATTAATTACACATTACATAAGCCTCACCTGCACTTATAGTTGGCTGTATTATCCTATGCATTCCTACTAAAAACTGAAGATATTTTAGCAGGATTCAAAGTAGGTGAGATTCTGCTGGGAGGGAAGAGTGTTAGAAATGTATTGTGATGTTGTTGAAGGTCTACAGACAAACTGTGACCTAATGAAATACCACCAAGGAATAATGGCAAGATCTGGATTTGTTTTCTGTCTTGAGTTTTGTCCTGCCTGGAAATGCAGTTTAGTTTAGCCTGTGTTGTGTTCATGTGTATTTACAGGCAAAGAAAGGAAATTACGCTTTCCTGTGGGATGTGACAGTGGTGGAATATGCTGCACTGACAGATGATGAATGCTCTGTGACAGTCATTGGAAACAGCATCAGCAGCAAAGGATATGGGATAGCACTCCAGCATGGAAGCCCCTACAGAGATATTTTCTCACAGAGGTAAACTGAAACAAAGCTTGTTTTGTAGGATTTCTTTCTATAGCCAGCAACTATTTGTGGTTCACATTTGGTATTTCATTAATAAAGTAAAATGAATATATGACAGTAGAGAAGTTACGAGTTCAGGGCCTCCAACAAAGCTGCTGCTTTTGCTCCATGTGCATCTGGTTTGGGAAAAGGGAACTGGAGGTGACTGTTGGCCTCCCACCTTCAGACAGCACTGCCTGTGGCAGAGAGGACTGATGTCCTCAGAGCTTTGTGTGAGGTAGAGGACAGACTGAAGAGAATCTTGGATCCATGCTACATTCTGCAGGCTCTGAAGCACTGAGTTGCTCCCTGCAGTGAGCAAGCACAGTGCCTTGGTTTATTCTAGAGGGTGGATGGGACAGGTCACAGAGTCACAGTGGTGCAGGGAAATAAGAATTGCTAAGTATTGCATGCGACTGCCAGTACCAGGGGACTATAAAACTGTGCCAGTTAGTGATCCCTGAGCTATCAGCTGGGAGTATCATCCATGTGGATTGTACCCTGAAATGAAGACATGCAGTTGTGCAGGCATGTGTGCCCTTAGCAGAAGATGAGCYGGTGCTCCACTGCAGGCAGGGAWGTGAAGCAAGATTTCCTCATCTTGYTCCTCCTTTATAAAAAGGAGCAAAGCTCCAGCTGCATAACTAGAGACAAAGMTGCCTCAAGAGAAAAGATTCTTAGTAAACAGCTAAAACAGTTATCAAACCAAATCCAAAATGAATCATTCATGCAGAGAAGGGACACTTCACAAGAGACAAAACAATGATTAATTAGCAACTGTTAACACAGTAATTCAGGCATTAAGCAACAGCATTGAAGTAAAATCCTTTTGAATAAACTACATTCGCTGAAGTAAATGAGTCCGTCGCTGCTTAAACAGATTTGTACTAAGTGGTGCACAAACAGTAGCATGTTTAGCCTTGCATGTTTTTGAAATTATTGTGGGAGAGCAGCAGTGGAGTGGGTTGAGCATTTCACTAGTGGGACCAGCTGCAGCAGCTGAATGTAGCCAGAGCAGGCATGACTAACTGGAATGTGGTGATTTCCCTTGGAAATTCTGTTTGCATTGCAGTGGAATTTTTGACAGTCTCTTTTTTTCCTAAAGTTACCCAGTGGAGTTTACCTGCTGCTGTGAGTAGAAAGAAATCTTAGTACAAGTTTCAGTTAAGAAAACAGCATTGGTGGTGTTGTTGGTGATGGTGGTGGAGTTTTGAATTGTGGGATGGTGTAGTTAAGAGTTGTGCAGCATAAGGAAAAGACAAAAAATTGTAAAAAAGTATCACTGCAAATAATCCTTGTCTTTTGAAATTTCTGCAGGATCCTAGAGTTGCAAGAAAGTGGAGATTTGGATGTTCTTAAACAGAAGTGGTGGCCACGGATGGGACGTTGTGACCTGAATAGCCATACCAATGCACAGACAGATGGGAAGGCACTCAAGCTGCACAGTTTTGCAGGCGTTTTCTGCATTTTAGCAATAGGCCTTCTTCTTGCTTGCTTGGTGGCAGCATTGGAGTTGTGGTGGAACAGCAACCGTTGTCATCAAGAAACACCGAAAGAGGTCCATAACTTTTATTCTTATCACAATTAAAAGTAGCAAACACAAAAGAGAGAGCAAGTGGAAGTTGTGGGATTTTAGGTGCTCTCATACAATAAATTTGATTTCTTTTGATTTGCCATACTAAGCTTTGCATATAACTTTTTGGGTGGTTGTTTCTAAGAAAATAAGAGCAAACGAACAAAAGTGTCTTTTGTGCACATGGAAGGTGCCAAACTGACAGCCCTGGAGACTAAAGTCCTCTATTTATTTGTAGAGCAGATACAGCATGGGCAGCAGCAGTGCAAACTTCCCCTCATTGCCCCACCAATGTGCCTCAACCCTGACCTGGAGAGACTACCTTTAGGGGTAAGAGAGTGGTTCAGAAACACGCCCTCGGCCACTCTGCTGTGAGTGACGGGGAGGCCAGTCCTGGGCACCCGGCTGTGCCATCTGTGCTGATGTTTTCTCTAACCTGAGCCCCATCCACTGGCTGGGAGATCCATGACCATCCTGTGCAGGCAGCTGCCAGATGTCTGGTAGCTGCTCTCCTTCATGGCTGACCTAGGCTGAGTTTGAAGAGGTACATGAGCAATTAAAAATAGATCAGCTAGTTAATAATTGAGTAAGCCATATTGCCGTGACACTGTTTAAATGCTTCCTTTCTTTTGAAGCCAGTTTAATTTCTAAAAGCAGGAGCCTCTGAGGAAGCTGACCTTCACATAACATGTTTTATCTAGGAAAATGTCTGAGAAAGTATTGGGTTTGATGTTTCCACACACAGCAGCCAGTAATAGTTAGCAATGCTAAGAATAATCAGTCTGTACTCAGATCTGTCTTGCATGAAGCCTGTATTTGTGTAGATTGAATGTTTAACAAACTAACCTCTTGTAATTTTGGAGACACTGAGGCATTTTGTAGGTGCTTGCATCTTGGAACAGATGTTTGTTACAAGCAAATAATAGCAGTGAGCTGCACTACAGCTGGAAAAAAGTACGCAGCCCATCAATTCTAATCTGTTTTTCTCAAGTTGCAGGAGTACCAGACTAATGGACATACCTGTAAGCAATTTTGGCAAATTGGCAGCATGGTCAAGTGGGTATTGGCCTTGCTCATGGCAGAGGCATTGAAATCGGGGATCTTCAAGGTCCCCTCTAACCCAGATGGTTCTGTGATACAATGATTTTTCCCTGCTGCCTGGTCGTGGTTGCTCCTTTGTAACCCCAAAGGTGCCCCTACGCTGGTGTTGCAGAGGCCTAAAGCCCAGCAGTAGGTGCTTCACTGCACACCATGAAATCCTGCAGGGAGACGGCAGGGATGCTCTCCAAAGTGTCCTTGTGCTGTCACCTGGTCGTACCATGTGGTGTGTTCCCCTTCTCTATGCTCAGGGACTCGCCTTTGTGTATCTTTGTAGAGTGAGATGAGAATATGACCTAAGGCACTTTCATGTAGCTAAGGTGAAATAATTCACTCTCTTATTGCAAGGAGTTTTGAATACTCARTTTCCATTGCTGAAAAAGAATCTGYCTTCCTGAATTTAAGTATTTCCTTTTTCACCTATCCCCTTCATTTCCTTTTTAATAACTGTAAGAAGGATTACTGCATATCTGTGCCTATCCCAAACCATCTTTTCTCCCTTTCCCATGTTTCTCCTCCTCCCCTTTCCTTCCAGTCTGTTCTTGACCAAGGT